AAAATTCTTAAACCTTTTATACGGCAATCAATTCAGTTCTAAACTTTCTTATTTGGCCAATTTAGTCATAAACATTCTAAAATCGATGATGCGAACGTTGATCGTCCTACGTGGTACAGTCGATGGGCTTTGATGAAGCCAACGGAGGTCGCCAGCCACAGGCGAGGGCTAGGACGCCCTAGCCGACCCTTGCCTAGACTCGGTGAAGGTGTTGCTGCCCTTTCCGGATATGCACGAGGGCGTCGAGACCTTTGTCCGATCTAGGCAAGGGCTTGCGAGCCCTAGTTGTGGCCGGTGAGGGCACCGCGGCAGGGCTTGGGCAAGGGCCACGACATCCTCTCCTATGGCCGGCGACCTCCACAAATTTTAAGAAAAAGTAGGAGGACAGTAATACTGTGACACGGTGCACAAATTTTAAGGGACTAAGCAACCGTATATCTACTAATAATGTAGCGCTGATTATCTTCATTATAGGACAATAAAGAAGCTTGTAACATATTAGTCACAGAACTGAATAGATGGACAGTCACCTGATTTTTGAGGAACATGTACCGTTAGTAAACATATCACATCATATTTATAATTTCTTTCACTTATTGATGTATATCTTTAACAATTCTAGCATAGGTTACTACCGTGGCCTGCCCTCGACCTCGAAACACCTTACTCTGATAATCATCTGGCTTTGGTGGAGCACGCGGCCTGCCGCGATCGAATGGGATTGATGAAGCGATCTAAAAGGTCAAATCTATTGCGGAAGCCAAGCGATCGAACAATAAAATAGACAAAACAAGAAAATAAATTAGACACCAGATTTACGTTGTTCGATCGTAGTGACCTACGTCCACAGGGAGAGCAGCACAAAATTTCACTATAGATCAAACGATACAATGGTCACTCAAATACTCTAAGGGTGCGCATGAATACCATTCTGTGCCCGGGAACTATTTCTCAACAGAAATGATTTTTTTTTTATTCTGTGCCCGAAAATAATTTCTGTGCATTTGAAGGCGTTTGGTAAACTGTCCAAAATTTCTATTTCTGGAATAGAAAAGAACAGAAATGCGTTTGGTAACTACAAACAAATTTCTTTTTATTAATAATATTTTAATAATATTTTGAATTGTTTAATTTTTTTTTTCTTTCTACCCAGGCCATGGCCGGTCGCCGGCGACCGGCGGCCGGCCACGACCCGGAGGTCGGCGGAGGCATCACGACCCTCGTCGGCCGCCGGCGGAGGCGAGGGCGAGGGCTGGACCCTCGCCGCCCGGGCGAGGCGGCTCGCCATCGGCCATGGCGAGGCTCGGCTCGCCCAGATCGGCGAGGCCGAGCCTCGCCGTCGATCGCGACGGCGAGGTCGGCCTCGCCCAGATCCGGCGAGGCCGAGCCTCGCCGTCGCGACGCACCGGCGGCCGACCTCGCCGTGAGTCGCGACGGCGAGGCTCGGCCTCGCCCAGATCCGGCGAGGCCGAGCCTCGCCATGACCGACTGCGAGCCGCCTCGCCCGGGCGGCGAGGGTCCGCCCTCGCCCTCGCCGGCAGGGGGACCTCGCCTCCGCCGGGGCCGGCGAGGGCCGTGACGGCCTCGCCGGCCGGTGGGTGGCCGGCCACGGCTGCTCGGCGACCGGCCACAACCCAAGAAGAGCAACACAAAAAGAAGAAAAGAAAAAAAGAAAAAGAAGAAAAAAAACTCGATTCTCAAAATTATGCAAGAAATAAGAAGTAACTTTTTTTACTTCTTGTTTCTCTTCTAAAACTGTTTCTCGGCACAAATATTTACAAAAATGTGCCCGGGAACAAAAAGTTTACCAAACGCATTTCTGTTCCCAAACTATTTTTGGGAACAAAAGAACAGAAATTTTTACTATTTGGCACATTACCAAATGGGCCCTAAGTTTCTCAAGTCCCAATTATATCTAATAACTCGCGCAGTGTTTAGCCCCACAATTTCTCACGAAACAATATTTAAATCTCACGACGAAATTATACACAAATCTTATTACAAGATTTAATCGACTTCAACACTTGAATTTTTGGTGTAATTCCACGAAGAAAATCCCATGCCAAGCGCTCGACGAAACGGAGCTTCAAGAATCGCATCAACGGCGGCACTTCTTCATAACCAACGAAGCAACCCACCGCCCATGCTCATCAATAACGGCGTGCATGCAAAATACTGCAATGCAATATTATATATATATATGCCCAAGAAAACGATACCCAGGCCGACTCAATTCATAGAGGAAATGGTGCAGCTCGGTCAAACCCAAGTCCACGTTGGACTTTTCCCCTTTTTTTTTTAATTATTTCTTTCCTCGGACGATGTCCTTTCCTTTCGTATGTGCTTGGCCGACGATATCTTACGCACAAATATATTATCAAGACAAAATAGGAAAGCTTATTTTTCGTTCTCCATCGCCAAACAGGAAATATATATATATATATATATATATATATATATATATATATATATATATATATCCATGCAGACGTCCAAATATAATCAATTTCGGACTTTTCTTTAATAAATCTTGTGTTGGGTTTTATTGAATGGGCTCAAACTCGAGATATATTTTAACACAATCAACCAGCAATTTATCCAGAAGATTGACAAAGCATTAGTCTTATTGCTGGACCTGGACTGGAAGCATGCTGAAGTAAAACACTATCAATACACAAGTTGAACATACCATCTCGTGTTATACTCTAACTTTTTCTATGCATTCATATTTCAGCTCGTGTCATATAAACTTGCCCTCCACTATTGTTTGTCTATAGACAAGCTGGTTCACAGGAATATCTACTTCATAATATCATGATTTGCAAAGCACTTATGATATCTTACTTCCCTGTTTTTTTTAATACTAGCCGGATAAAGTACGTTCTCTTCGGTAGATTTTCATATACTTAATCGTATGAAGTGTATACCTATAAGATAATTATTTAAAAAGTCCTAAATCTATTGTACGGCAACCAATTCAATCCTAAACTTTCTAATTTGGTCAATTTAGTCCTAAATCTTATAACGATTTTCCAATGCAGTCCTCTAGTCGGAGATCGTTGACATGGACGTTAGTCGTCCTACGTGGTATGACCAACGCTAACATATATGATTTTTGTAAATTTTTTTTAATTTTTTGAATTATCTTTTTGCTCCTTTTTCTTTATTTCCTATTTCCCTCCGTTAGTCACCGGAGCCTCGGCGATGGCCAACGGAGATCGCCAGCCACAGGCGAGGGCCATGACTCCCTTGCCAACTCTCGCCTAGATCTGGTGAAGGCGTCGCTGCCCTTGCCGAATATGCACAAGGGTCGCCAGCCCTCGCCGGTGCGACCTTTGCCCAATCTAGGCAAGGGCTTGCATGCCCTAGTTGTGGCCGGTGAGGGCATTGCGGCTGGCCTGGGCGAGGGCCACAATGCCTTTTCTTATGGACGGTGGCCATAGCAAATTTTAAGAAAAAGTGAGGACAGTAATACTGTGACGGTGCATAAATTTAAGGGACTAAGCAGCAACCGTAGATCTACTAATAGTGTAGCACTGATTATCTTCATTATAGGACAATAAAGAAGCTCATAACATATTAGTCTCCGAAGTGATTAGATGGACAGTCACATGATTTTTGAGGAACTCTTAAACATCTCCATTATAATAGATGAGAATCTACTGTTTCTGATACTTGGCACTTCTTGCTGCCCACAACCACATACCGCTAGCAAGCATATCACATCATATTTCTAATTTCTTTCAATTATTGATGTACATCTTTAACAATTATAACGCAGGCAACTATCCTGGCCTACCCTCGATCTCATAATCTCCTGTTCTTGATAATCATCTCGTCTTTGGTGGAACACGTGGCCTGTCGATCGAATGGGATTGACGAAGCGACCTGAAAAGGTCAATCAACCAACATTTTGTCCAATAGGTTGACAACGTACAGCCTTATTGATGGACTGGGACCGGAAGCATGCTAAAGTAAAAAACACTATCAATACACAAGTTGAACATACCATCTCGTGTCGTATTCTAACTTTTTCTATGCATTCATATTTCAGCTCCAGTCATATAAACTTGTCTTGTTGACTATTGTTAGTCTATAGACAAGCCGGTTCACAGGAATCTACTGTTTGGATGACAATAAAGCAACTTTGGAGGGCCTGAACTAATTGGGCAATTCTAAAGTCCACCACAAGTGTTCGTAACTAATCATAGTTCCTTACATTTTTTTACCATTCCTATATATTATATATACATGAATTGAATGCATTGTGATTCCACGGACAAGATTTATTCTTTTCTTATGCGACGGTTATGAAGGGATTTTGATGATTTGAGGCACGCCTGTCTCGACTGTCGTGATTGATCGATTCGAACAATAAGCTGTGGTAGGCAAAGTGTTTCACACCAACGAGAACACATTTTACTCTCTGCTAACAGTGGCCCAATCTTGCCTTGGGGTGTTGGACAAACAGCGACGGTAGTGGTAGCGGCGGGAACTCGAACAGACTACTCATACCAGAACTGATGAGATCCGAATCGTGGTCATTCGGAACGTATTCCGCGAAGACTCCAACTTTCTAGCTAGGGTCTGGATAAAGTGTATCTTTTCACCTAATAATCAAGTTTGAACATGATAACACATACAGGAACAATATATTTAAGTCTGATTCTAACCATTTCTGTTTTCAGTTCTTTGGCCGGAACTGAAGCATAATCCAATTAATGGCCTTGGCTTTGGTCTGGAATCCTAATGAACCTGAAAACGTGATTCCAAATCCATTCAAATTGACTCTTTCAGGGAAACCGAGAACCATTCTTGGGTTTGGAGTTTTAGCATGTCTAGAGCAACAATGGGAGAGAGATGTTATCTTAATCAAGAAACTGCCCAGAATACAATACAATCTTGATGAACAGAGTTTCGTCACAAGCTCGCTTTAAGAATGCAGAATGATAGAAATTAGCTAGAAACAAAGCAATGTATGCCGGGTTCAGGGACGCAAATTAAGAAATGGCAATCAATGCAATCTTGAATAGTTAAGAAATTCAGTTCCGATATACCCTGAGAGTCACGGTGCTGTAGTCAGACCGTGCGTGCATGTACTTGTTAGATGATCAAACAATTGCATCAAGAAGCAACTTCAAGCACGCTCCTCAGAAAGCTTCTATATACAAAGCAATTCACCGCATTTTCGATCTAGAGTATTGGTGAAGTCCAGATCACACAATGTCTGGTCTTTGTTTCACCACAGACGGATATCTAAGTTCTTCAAGCGGTTGAGTCTGGCCGATGCAAGATTTCTTCTCTTTTCTCTACTCTTGCAATTTCCAGGTTGCTTGAAGATTGTTTACCAAAGAAATCCACTCAATTAATCCTAAACAAAGCCTTGCTAGCAAAGACATTTCTTTCACTTCCTTATTTCGGAGCTATCATGTTATCCATGTGGAGAGAATTCCCCTGCGATTCCACATACGGCCGAACAAAAGTACGGCGCCACCAGACCTCGAATGCCCTCTGAAGATTCGGGCAGTTATCGCCAGCCTTCAAGAAGCTGCCCAACCAGGAAAGCAGAATGCTCTGCTGGTCCTCCAATGGTAGGGTCAAGATCGTCCTACCGATCCCTTCTTCCACAACCTTACGATCGAAGGACCTACACCCGTGTTGCAACCAGCTGTAATCGTTGATCAATGGCTGCAACCAGGTCTTCAACAACATCTGGCGCGTCTCCTTGGACGGCAACAACTGCCCTCTTCCAATCCCGACAAAGAGCCGTGCCGTGATGCAACTCACATGGTAGCGTGACATTACAGGAAGTTTCCCGTGCAAGGTCGCCAGTTCTTGTTGGCCAGCCCACATGATGGCAAAGTCATCTGCAACTTGTCTGTCGGCTAAAATCTCTAGCAGCCAAGTGAGGTTATCGGACTCCAAGGCTATCTGCTTTGCCAACGTTTCTTTGCCAGCAATAGTGCTATCGTCTGAGTCCAGTTCAGTGGCTTGCTTGAAACAAGAGACTAATGCATTCAAACAGCTCCTGCACGAGTTATAAATGGCTTCATTACAACTAGGAAGACTACTGTTGTTCTCCCTGAGGAGCTTCAGCACGATGGATTTCATCTCGCGGCGACCTCTTTCCTCGTTACTCTTGAGAACCATATCCATTATTTGGGAGAGCGTGTCGTTTGATGGAGCTGAGGCATTAGAAGAGACTCTCTTCAGTATGGGAGTGACGCCAATGCCTTCACCCTGGAGGTGCAAGATGGACGAGACTACTTTCTCTTCTTCATCGTCGCCGTCCCAAGGAACAGCTTCCAAATATTGCACACACGAGCGTATGCATTGGTTGAAGCCAAGTGCTTCTGCAACCTGTGGAAGGCAATCACATGTGTCAAGTTGTTGACATTACAGAAGCCCAGTTGGACATTCACAGAAAAGTTGGTCAATGATTTATAAGGACAGAAATGCAAGGCAAGTGCTTTGACGTAACTAGAAAAAAAAAAATACTATGATGATATTGCATCTTCTAAGTAATTTGAGAGGATATATTCAACAATCAGACTTCTTCGAATATCAAATACTCATAAGATCATGCAATCACAAAACATAAACCCAGATACAACAGCCTTTTCAGCTCATGGTGGGTTCGTTTAGAGAAAATTAACGTTCAACTGAACTAGGAGGATTCCTGCTCAAGTAGCGGCATATCTAATTGAAGATCACATATTAACAAATTATGTCACAGGCTCATTATATGCTATTTAAGGCAGATATACAAGGAAAAAGGAAAATTTAACAGCCTGATTATGAGAATTCATTATATCCAGGATGGGCACTTGCTGCACCGTGTATCATTTTCAATACTTCCCTCAAGAGAGTTGTTAACTCATTAGACAAAACCAAGCCTAGCCATTTAAATTGTTGGCCCTTTTCAACTTAATAAACCATTTACTCCATGCTTCTTCTCAAAGGTCCAGCAAGAACTATTATGTCTTCTAACCAACCAGCTTAAACCAAAAGTCTCATTTCTTGAGGGTATTCAATTTTTATCGAGTAAAATTAAGTTAAGAGACTCAATTTAATAAATAATCAATATTTCAAAATTTAAGTAATGGAATTACAGGTCTGCTATAATCACTCAAGTCAATCAAAAAACTCTTTTGCATGGGCCACATCCTAGCTCAAATTTGCTGTAGGTAACCCGTGAATAGTTGTCAAAGCCGACCCTTGAGGTTGAGACCAGTACCGATTACCATCACCACCAACCACCCAAATCCTTGAAGCTTGATATTCAGATCTTCCTTCACCATCAGCCACCAAAACTAATAGCTCTTATATCTTGTGCGTGACAATTAGGAGCTCTAAAAATCATAGCAAACAAGCTAGGCACTACCATCTTGAGCCACCACCTAGGAAGATAGATACACTAGAAACACAGCTTATAAATCCACAATAATGATGCATAAGTCTATTACCTATCCAACTAGACGTCACATTGATTTTAACCCAATAAACAATTAAGGGAGACCTCTGTGCTAATCCTATCATGCATGACTTATCCAATTAATTTTTTTGCAACTTGACGTCCCGCTATGTTCTCATAAGCCGCAAGGTATTTGCTCAATGACACATATATCATCATAACCATGCAATTCATCTCAGAGCGTCCAAAACATGATAAAAAACTTGTAGGACCTCTTTAGATAAATCATCCAAAGCCTAAAGCCTCCATAGCCCATTGTATGTCCATTCAGCTATATGGCCATGCCATGTTTCGCTAAATAGTCAACTGCTGACATGATAATTCAAGTGCTCTTAGGTTACAAGAAATCTACAAACTCAAGTATATTGACGCAGTAAAAGTACAATTACTTTCTGTGACGAATACCTAATGATCCATTGATATCTGGTAGATTAGGGAAGTGTCATCTAAAGGGACAAGTCTTGGCTTCATTACTGCAATAATGCTATAGGAGTAGGTGTTCATTGATAACAATCTGTTAAAGAAATCCATAAAGCCCTCTGTTGCAAAATTTTCAAGAATAGTAGAAAGTAATCAACCAGTATTACATGATAATCACAATAAAGAGTCGACTGTCAAAAAGGACAACAGATAAACAATGATGTCATATTTGGGGCATATTCACATTATTCAAACAAAAGGTGGCTCCAGAAGCTCTGTGCATTTTGAATTTGTGAAGTTCACCTAAATACTCTAGATTAAATTAATGGTTGAAGTACATAAATTACATCATTAAATTACGTAACCAATAGAAGAAGGTCCTGCTCGACATTTGGAAATGCATAAGCAAATGGAGACCTAACTGCTTCAGACAGGTTAATTTTCTGGTTAGCAGCTCCAAGAACCCATGAGTTGATAAGCGAACTACAAAGCGCGCTTAAATACCCTATAAGCTTAATGAAGAGGTACTCTTGAGTCTTGCCCTAATCCAAATTCCACAGTAGGCCCCCCTGGGCCTCTCTACAATTTGATTATTGCAGATGCGTGTATGAAGGTTTTTGTCATTGTTTTGTCCATTTTCTCACAGTCAAAAGAATCATGTTATCTACCAATCGCGTTTTTTTCTTATGTCTATGAAAGTCTGTAACCCTTCTAGCCTATATACTGAGAAACTTCAGTATTAAGAGGAGCCTGGCTGAAAGGTAAACAAGTTTGCAACCTAGAAAGACCCAAGTCTTAAGAGAAATGATAAAAGCTTGTCCACTAGGGGACCACCTTATATCAATCAGATACTTCCAGACTGAGCTGTTGCAATATGATAAATTGCCTTTTAAAAAGAATCTCTAGATCTGAATTCTCCCTAGCATGGTCTAGTCGAATAGACAAAGACATAAGACATACAAATCAGCATGCCTCACAGCCACCCTGGTACAACTCTCTCTTTTTTTCAACTCTTCTGCTGTACCTTCCAGTACATCCAACCTAAGCAAATGGTCCTTACATGAAGTGTCATCAAAATTTACCTAGTAATACTTGTTTATGCTTGGTTTTCAAATTTGGAACAGTGTCACTGTCCAGGGAAACATGCAATGTCTCTGAATAACAGCTATTAGTTGCTGTATAATGCGAACGGCAAGCTCTTTTCTTTTTAAGAGTCGCATGAAACAGGAATTAGTGAATGGAAACCCTCTCTATAAGCTAAAACAGAACTGCAGCCCTGACGGTAGCTAGAACGCAGAAAAGAAAGTAACTTTCTCCAGAAAATTATCCAGAGAGAAACCATCAACCCTTGTTAAGCAAGTGTAGGCTTCGTCAAAGTACTATTATGCACTGTTGAACCATCACCGTATAGAAAGGTGGAAAACAACTACATGACTTTTAGGATTATCAATTACCTTAAGTATGCGTAGAACTCGGGGAACACTTTGCTTGATCATCCTCTGCTTCATATCTTTGCAATACATTAGTCCGACAGTTTCAACGTATATCTCAGCATTCTCACAATCATCGATTTCTAAACAAGGCAAGGCCTCCTCTTCTTCCAGAAGCTTCTTGGCAAAGAAACTGCTATTCTCTACTAGAACATTCCGGTGGACGCTTAACTTCACACAAAATCCCTGCTTCCCTAGCAAAATCACCTTCATATCACTAGTCCCAGGTTCACCAAACTCAATTGACACCTTCCTTGGCAAATGATCTGTTTTCGGTCTCGGAGTTCTCTCGGGAGCTACAGGTGCACTAACAGCAGGAGTGTCGGCTGCGGCACTTGGGTTCTCAGAAACCACTCCTGACCTCAATGGGGTGGATGTCGGCCTTTTCTCAGTCACTGGGACTTGTTTTTTCTGGATATTAGACTTGTTTGGAGGTGAGGATGGTCTTGGCTTGTTTACAGTGTTTTGAACTTTGATGCTCTTCTGAAACACTGCAGGAGAGGGACAGCACCAAAAACCCTCTGGAGTAACAGCAATCGGAACGTTCTTTATTTTTGTCTGGCCTTGTTCCACCCTCGTAAGTCGAATTTCAGCCATATTTTCCAAAATTTACACTTAGAGCATATGATGGTGATTCTATGGCTAAGCAGGCCAACAAACCCAACTGACAAAACACTTGATTTTCCAAGTTCCTAAAGAAAGAAGACAAATTGCTACAGATATAGACACTGATGAGAGCACTTCAGAGACTATCAATTTCCTGGGTTCTCAGATAACAAAAAAGACTCTTCCTCCTCCTTAGCAAATCTTTGTGCTACTGCTAAAAATGCCTGAAAAAAAGAAACGGAAAGGGCTGAGATCAAGATTGAGTCCTGGAAGCGCATTCTACCCCAGAGAAAATGCTATCACCTTTCATTTCGAGAAAGAGAGCCCAAAATATAACTAATCCCTGCAATTATAAAATCCGAACTACAGATAAGAAATTCTGTTCAATGCAGCCGAAAGAGACTATGACGAACAGTGGTAATCATTTATCAGCAGAAATTTCGTCAACGCGAACTTTTCCCATGGACGTAGCCATAGATCAAGCCCCCAAAGAAACAGCTCAAGAAGACATTATGCCTAGCCCAGAATCAAGAAAACAAGAACAAATTGAACGGGTCCCGTCATGGTCCTGATAAATTAGAATCTTGACACAACAAGCTGAAGACTGACCTGGGACTGAAATTTAGGTATTCTGAGAAATCCCAGCGAACCCATCTCTTATCTTAATCGATTTCTTCCAAAAAGTCCCAAAGGGTGTTCATGAACATGATTGAACCAGAGCTCCGGTGTCAAGCATCAAGGGAACCAAATGGACAGAGGCTTGCAGAGAGGGAATGATGAGCGCAATGTGCCCCCCCTCCCTTTAAATCTGTAAAGCTAAAGTAAAACGATCACAAAAACACACAACCCGCAAAAGCAAAAGCAAGCGCGAGACCAACATAAAGCAAAGGCGGATGATGGCTCATGGGGGTTTGTTCATCAGCCCCTGCTTTCGCCAGTCCTCTGTCTACGCCATTTGCTTTTCATGATTGTAATGAGCATGTGGGTCAGAGCAGAATATTACCATGTTTTTCATTTCTTTCTTCCCTCCCTCCCTCGGCTTATGAACTGACCAAAAGACTTTAGCGCACGCCTAACCACTTCCTTCCGTTCGTTTTCCTTTCTTTCTTTCTCTCTCTCTCTCTTTCTTTTTCCATGCTTGTGTCGCTTTTCGTGGGACGATGCTGGATTTTTGTGGGGGGTGGGGGAGAGAAAGACATCAAGAGCAGGATCCCAGTCCGTCGTGTCCTCGCCTATGTCGGAAATGCCCTCGGGGAAATGCCAAAGGAGGAGGGGGGAAGGTGGGGGATGACGTCGTGGGTATGTCGAGACAAGCGACTCGTGAGAATTATCAAAACGATCCAAGATAGAGGTCTGGATAAAGTCCTTGTGTCGGAGGAGGGCAAAAGATTGAAGAGAAGGATGGGATGGTCCTGACTCGTCGTGGCTCGCTTGTGATTTGAAAGTTTACTGATACCGATCCAAAATGGAGTACACCTTTTTCACTTGGTTGTAATGGTAATTTGATGTGTGGACGGGAGTGGTTTGCGGCAGTGATGTTAAATATAAGGATTAATATCAGTAAAAATTCTAAACTAATACGATAAATTTATTTTTTATTAAATTTTATCGTCAAATTACTGAGTTGGATGACACGTGACAGTTGACGGATGTATCAGTTTAGTGTTTTACCCTCCGCTCGTTACAGGTGTACCAGTTTGTGATTTTTTGTGTTATTAATCTAATTTAATGAAAACTAACGAAGAATAAATTTATCACAAATGTATTAGGGTTTTTGTTGGTCAAAAAATTAGTTTATGGTAAATTTGTTATATGTGTACCAATTTGAGGTTTTTGTTGTTAAAAAATTAGTTTGAGATTTTTCGTATTATTAACCATAAATATAGAAAAAGAAAAAATCACAAAAAACTTTAAAGTATGTTCACGGTGACACATTTACTTTGGACTCTTTTTTTGTGATATCAAAAATCCCAAATTATACCTACCGTAATACATTTACCTTAAACTTTTTTTGTGACATAAAAAACATCAAACTTGTACTTTACTACATATTTACCATCCATCAAGGTTCCATCGAACGACTTTTCAACCAAAATAATGTCGTTTTTATTTCATTTAAGTCATGTGAGTATCTTGTCAATACCGTTTGCTTTATTGCGTCTATATAAATAGATTTTTAACAGTTCTCATTGACGGAACTTTGAAAGAGGATAAATGTGTCACATAGATAAACGTTTGGGATTTTTTGTATTAATGAAAAAATTTTAGGATAAATGTATCGCAATAAGTATAGTTTAGGGTTTTGGTGGCTTTTGCCCTAAAATAAATGCATCACTTGCCTCTTTCAAAGATCTATCATTTTTCTCGTAATTTGAGAAAATGTTTAGCCAAGAATCGTCTTATCCAAGACTTGTTATGGTCTCTTTAATCAGTGTCTATCACTGTGTATGTGCATTCTTATGCTCATTACGATTGAAATGTCCTCGTAGCATTTTGAAACGCATCAAGTGTTGTGGCAATTTTCGTGACATGGTGTCTTACTGTCGTAAAAAGCATTAGTAACCAGTGCTACGAGCTGGTCTAAACCTTTTGCTTACAAATGCTTAACGTTAGTGTGGAAAGCACATCCCCATCCGAGCTGGTGGCATATGGTGGGGGGGCACCCCTTGTCTCTTCGACGTGAAACCATGGATAAAGTCACAATTGCGCCTCATTATTGCCTGGTTGAAAGGGTGATCGGCTCCAAAATGATCGGATCCTGGTTAATAACCTAGAATCTACTTGATCAGGACTAGTTCCAAAATTTTGGAACAACCCTTTTGCAATCAACCTAGAACCAAACTGGCCGATTCTAGAGTAGACCCGTGAACTCAGTCGTGAGCTTCTTCCATTTATAAGATATGTTGAACTTATTTTTGGCAAAATCGATACATTAGCTTTTCTTAATAGATTGGTTGAAGCAGCTCAATTTTTGTTGGGCCACCTATGAGCAAATCGCTCCTTTTCGAGTTATGTATATACTTTTCTAAATGAGATGAAGACCGGTATTATCCTAAATAACAAACTGTTGGAATAATAAGGATGCCAGATTATCCTAATCCCAATATAGTGAGAAATTACGCTGGGTTGTTCTTTTACCCTTGAACCTATTCGGTTCACTTGAGAAAGGACTAACCCAAGTAGAATTGGGGTGATACTGGCCCCTACTAGTTCAATGATGTGTAAGGCCGTGTCTATGTGAAAGATTTTTTACCGCAACACCCAAACTAAAAGGCTGCGACAGCACCAATTGGCTGAATCCCACGAAACCATTCCATGAAAGTTTATCGATATCTTCTTTTCATAAAGCAAAGCGATTTCGATTCTCGAACAATGCGAAAGCTTGATTTCTTGGAGCACACGCAAGACAATTCAGCAGACTATTGACAAAAAGCTTTATAAATGGGTGGTCCAAGAAGGAAACACATGAAGAGGAAAAAAAGGAGACTATGCTTATCTCATTAGATTCCAACCTTGTCTTATGGGGATAGGAGAAGGTTGGTCATCTAACAACCCCTTCCAATCGCTTCTTGGAATAATCACCTTTATCCCTTTAGTCAAACCCACCCGCTTATATTACAATATATAATTAGTGCAAACGTAGAATCCAATTCAAATTGGAAAAATCAAACCTTTTGTTGGGCCCATCAGATATAAAAATAAAAAAAAAATAATGCCAAAGAAACTAAGAGAAGGGCATCATTCAAATTCCCTTGAAAGAGACACCATGCATCTTTTTTCTCTACTAAAGAATAGAAAAGGGCAAAAGTCGCAAAGCTTCACATTAGAGAACGACTAGGATCCAAAGCTGGCGTGCCCAATTATATAACATGACGTTGAATACTGTTCCAGATTGAGATTATGAAATTAGCATCAATGAAAATTATTCTCTTTTGATTTTTGTCCATTTTCCACCTAAATTGACGATCCCTTTATTTTAACGATAGAATACCAAACTTTGATGGTTACCTAGAGCATTGAATTGATCACCTTGTTTCATCTTCCTACAATACATCCTAACATGCTCAGATTCAAGTTTGAGACAATTACGGAAGCATTATCGTATGTTGGCCAAACATGGCTCATTGTCAATCTCTAAGTAGTATTTCATCTGTATATACCCATTACAACGAGAGGGAAATCTGTTTTCGCACATTAATTGTTCAACATGAAGTTTAAGTTATCCGATTTCTTTTTCAGAAGGGTCATACTAAGAGGTATTTCCGAGACAATTATTAAGCATATTCAATTTGATAAATAAAAAAAAAAGGCTTCACTTTCTAGACTAACGATAGCACAGAATATGAAAACATGAGAAATTTCCAAATAAGGACCTGAAGTGCCCTCATTTTCTCCAATAAAGGTTTAAAATGAACTTTGTTTCAAATAAGTGCCCGGAGTGCCTTCAAATAAGGGTCTGAAGTTCTCTCATTTTCTTAAATAAGGATTTAAAGTGAATCTCGTTTTAAATAAGGGCCCAAAGTTGTTATGTTAGTTTCAAATAAGGGTTTTGACTTTTCGAATGGTTAAGGACATTTTCGTCATTAACCTTTTTTGAATTTTTTTCCTTTTCTTTCTTTTTTCGTTTTTCTGGTTTTTTTTCCTTCTTTGCCGGTGGTCAACTAAGGCCAGCCACCCTCGTCAGCCATAGGCGAGGATCGCCTCGCCAACGGCCGACAAGGCTACCCTCAACAACCACAGGTGAGGGCTGGCCTCCCCTCACCCGCAGCCGGTGAAGGCCTAGGCGAGGCAACCCTCACCCTAGCGGTCAGCAAGGGCTTGTAGGCCCTTGCCAGAGAGGTCTGCGAGGATCGCCAAGCCCTCGCTGGAAGGAAAATTAAATAAATAAATAAGAAAAAAATTAAAATTAAAATTATCTTTGTATGAAATTGTCCTTGATCGGTCGGAATATTTAGCCAGCCGGCGATTGGCGAGGTTAAGCCTTTATTTGAAACTACCATAGCCACTTTAGACCCTTATTTAAGACTGATATGTCCACTTTAGGACTTTTTTTGAGAAAATGAGGGTATTTCGAGCCTTTATTTGAAATTCTCTCTAAAAATATTGTAATTAGATTCCAACCTTGTCTTATGGGGATAGGAGAAGGTTGGTCATCTAATACCCCCCATCGCTTCTTGGAATAATCATCTTTTCCCTTTAGTCAAACCAACCCTCGTACATTACAATACATAATTAATGCAACGTAGAATCTAATCCAAATTGGAAAATCAAACCTTTTGTTGGGCCATCAAATATCAAAATAAAAATAAAATGCCAAAGAAACTAAGAGAAGGGCATCATTCAAATTCCCTTGAAAGAGACACCAAGCATCTTTTTTTTTTTTTGGTAAGGAAGACACCAAGCATCTTTTTTCTCTACTAAAGAATAGAAAAGGCAAAAGTCGCAAAGCTTCCCATTAGAGAACGACTAGGATCCAAAGGTGGTGTGACAATCATATAACATGATCGATGTGGAACATTGTTTGTCCATTTTCCGCCTAAATTGATGATCCCTTTATTTTAACGATAAGAATACCAAACTTTGATGGTTACCTAGAGCAATGAATTGATCACCTTGTTTCATCTTCCTTCAATACATCCTAACATACTTAGATTCAAGTTTGAGACAAATTACGGAAGCATTGTCATATGTCATCTAAACATGGCTCATTGTCAATCTCTAAGTAATATTTCATCAGCATATAATATACCCATTATAACAAAAGGGAAATAGGATAGTCTGCTGTGGTTCGCACATTAATCGTTTAACATGAAATTTAAGTTATCCGATTTCTTTTTGATAAGGATCGTACTAAGAGGTGTTTCCAAGACATTTCTTAAGCATATTCAATTTGAAAAAAAAAAAAAAGACTTCACTTTCTAGACTAACGACAGCACGGAACACGAAAACATTGACATCCGTGTAAAGTTTTTCTCAATCGGGTGCTTGTCAAGCTCGCCGCGGTAATCGTTAATTCAAATCCTTGTTC